CCCGGCACAACCTTCATGTCGGGAAACCCGTGGGAACCCGACAATACCCTTAAAATATAAAACTATAAAATTGCGGCAAGTTTAACATCAAATGAACATTTATTGAAATTTAACATTAAACCTACAAGGGTTTCGAACGGGAACGGGTTTGAATATTAAGGGCGGAGTCGGTAAATGGTTTCCCGTTGTAGAAATCAAAACCCTTAAAACCCCAAACCCTTAGAAAACCCTTATAATTTTCTCACAATATTTATATTTTCTTATAACTCGACCCCAAAATGTCGATAAATTGTTGTTTATTAAATCTAATTATGATTTTTGTAAACTTTGAAAGTCGGTCGGGCTTTCAGATTAAAGAACACTGAGGGTTTGGGTCGGGCCGGGTTTCAAAAATTGGTCTAACTTTTGACTCTAATATGGCTATTTTGTTAACGTTTTTAAATGTTACTCAATTCAAAAACTTTTTTACAGTTTGTATGGAAAGTTTAGTTATTTCACTCAATAGGGCAATAATAACTCATTTTACAAAAATTGAAAAATTAGCTCAAAATAGGAAGCAAGTTTACCTAGGTACTATTGCCCCCCTTATCAGAAACTTAGATACAGTTGCGGGCAACTGAAAGTCCGAGATAACGGTATTTACAAATTGTCATAAAGGGAACGGCATGATAGATCAATTTATAAGATTAATATTACCGTTTATTTGCGTAATGAAAGGAACGGTATGCCAATTTGGTTTAAATAATGATTTTTACATTTTTGTTATAAATGAAACTAAACTTAAATACAAATCAAATTTTTGATTGAGGTTTATGTTGTCACAAGTAGACATTTAATAAAATATTTACTTTTGAACTCACAATTTGCGACACAATTTGACCGATTATTGTCTTCGGTATTATTTGCGGACAAAAATTGCAATAATTTGTTTCGGACAGTAATTATCTCTATCCTTCATCAGCGCAATGACTGTCTAATAATGACAGTACTGGTGGTCTGTTTAGGCATTTGGGTGGAGAGAGCGACCGTAGAAGTGATATTTGAGATCATTCATCATCGGCATGAATAATTATCTCTATCCTTCATCAGCGCAATGACTGTCTAATAATGACAGTACTGGTGGTCTGTTTAGGCATTTGGGTGGAGAGAGCGACCGTAGAAGTGATATTTGAGATCACTTTAACCGTACATTTTGTGCATTTATGGGGAAAACTTGATATTTGTTTATACAATTGAAATTAAAATAATTTACAATATATCAAATAAACGAGAATCAAAATGGTATCGTTAATTAAAGGCTACCCTGTATATGTTTAAAAATTTTGCGTGATTATTATTTATTGTTATGTACTACAATATGAATGAAGTACTTGAAAACCAACATATATCCAAAATATGTTAATTTTTACATTAACCCATTAGTGATGAAGTACTCAATAAATTTTTCAAAAATGAGTAATGTAGAAACATTATTGTATTTTATAATTATACTTTCTCTTTTGATATACATAACCTGGTCTTGAAGTGAGATATTTAATTTGTACAAATAGCAATGATCATTTCATTAGTAAATATAAGTGTTACCAATTTTTAAAAATTCATTAGAAACATCAGGATAAATTTATTTATCTTAATTTAATTTTTCAATAATAAACATTCATAATTTAATTAAATAGAGATACGAGGGGTGCTATCACATGGTATGTTCAAGGTGCAAAACCGAATTTTGTTGGCAGTGTTTGGATATAATAGTTGATGCTGATGATTACAAAACTCATTTCAACAGCAAGTGTCAATTATTCTTTGTCCCAGATGACATAAATTGATTAAAATAAAATAATTTTATAGCATTCCCTTTTTTACTTTGTATTGTATAACGAAATTAAATAAAAATGTCCCAAACTTTATGGTAATGTAAACATTATTATAATAATTTGAGCAGGTAATTTCAGAGTTTGACATGGCCTTTATTTTAATTTTAAAATTTGTATTCATAATTACATTTGATATTCAAAAAGTATTGATACGACTTAATTGAGATAGTTAAAACCAAAATATAAACTCTACTTTTATATAAATGTAAAGTATTAATTAGCATGGTACCAGATATTAGTTTTTATTGAGTTTCTCATTATAGTAGTAGGTTTCCGTAATTATATAGTCCAAGAATTCTATATTAGTGGCCCCTATAGCAAGGCCACAGACCAAGGTGAATCCAACAAAACTGGTGGTTACATTTAATACAGGTCATATGATTGCAGCCCTTGTTTTTCTATATTAAAAATTTTACAAACTATTAGTCATTAATTTTTAAATTATGCATGGCGACACTATTCAAATAAAATATTATTACTAAAATGTTTGTTGATACATGTGTATAACATAAATGCAGCATGTTAATAATTTCTAAAATTAAATATATCAATATCAAATATACTGCATATGTAAATATTAAAATGACCGAGCGTACAAACAAATATAACTTTATCATTACCTCAATAGGCCGTTTACACCCTGGACATGGTTGGGTAGTCTTATTCACCATAGCATCGGATTTCAGCTCCTGTTTACGGCGCTCTTCCTGGCGCTCCCTCTCAAGTCTCTGTCTCTCGGCCTCCTGTTGGGCCACAATCTCCCGTTCCCTTTGCTCCCTCTCCTCCCGTTCCCTCTGCTCCCTAACCCGTCTCTCCTCCTCAGCCCTGCGCTCCTCATCGGCCCGTCTCTGCTCTTCGTAGAGCTGTTCCGCGCGACGGATCTCTTCCTGTTCTCTACGGATAGTCTCCAACCACTGCCTGTCCTCCGCCTCAATAGCCTCTATAGCCCTGCGGATAGAGTGACCAACAGTTTTGTGGGACAAAAGGACAATATATTTAAATTTTAAAAGTATAATTAAAAGTAATATAACTTAAACAGTTTTAATAAATTAAAATTAAAATAGTACTATTTAGAATTTGCTAAATAAATAAATATGTTCCTGGTCACTCTACCTGTGATTTAGATTGTCCTCATTGGCAATGCGACCGACAATAATCCTATCATTATGAGATATTATAGCATTATGTTGCTCTTGCTCAGTTAGGTCACAGTCGGTGTTATTGTGGTACGGCTTATTGCAATTTGTACAGAACCGGAATCCACATTTGGGACAGGTAGCACTATTAATATCCACAACTGCCAAGCTCATGCACCCTTGGTTCGGGCAGTAATACTGTAGTTATAATAAAAATAAACAATTTTAGAATAATAGAATAAGCAATTAATTAAAATTAAATTAAATTAATTGCCAAAAATGATGTTGGTCACTCTAGCAACACTTACCACATCAAGCATATCCCTCACGGCCGCCACCAATAATAGATAGTCATATCGGGCGTACACCGCGTCTGACACCATATACCTGACCAGGGCTTCTGGGGCAACCGTTTGACACGATTGATCAGGACACTTTATGCCCTCGACATTACCCTCGCTGATGGCATTAGACAAATAGCCGGCCATACAGTCGGCGCAGAATAGATGTCCGCACCCGCACTCCACCGCACCATTCAGTGGGTGATTGTCCATACATATAGAGCACTCAAATTGTGGGACTACCACCTTGGCCGGTTTAGTTTGTTGAACAGGTTCATGGTATACCGGTCGCTCTAGTCAAATAATATAATTGATTTAAAATTGTAAAAAAATAATAAATTTTAAAAAATGGTAAAAATATTAACTATTGTGAATAATGCATTTTATACCGTATTCCCGCGCATGAAATGATATGCCATTATTAACTAATATTTGTGTTATTTGTTTGTCAAATCAATTTTATATTAATTGAAATGTACAAGTTAAATATACAGAATAAATTAGTAATTTGGATTTCTAGTAAGTTATTATTCCTACTATATTTATATATTTTAGTATGACATAATAGGTTTAGATTGGATATATACCTTTATAAAATGGTCGATTATCCGATATGTTACTAGCACGTGGCACATGTAATTTATCTTGCTCATTTCTTGCGATCACTTTTGTTTCATTTAAATCAGCCATACTGAGAGCCATTGCCAGTTGCAATTGCTCATCGTCATCATTATCATAAACATTTTGTGTTGACCGTGTTGGGACACCCTGGTACCCACTTCTTATGACATTGTGAGCAGGGTTAGATGTAGATGCCTTATGCGTGGGGTTTGAAAATTCGCCCACATTTCGAAATTTCTTTTGTCCCCTATTTTAATTTTACCATGATAATTAAATTATATGTATAATTAATAGATTTATTTCTAATAACTAACTTGTAAGTTATATATTATAAATATGATTTAAATAATAGAAACATTTAAAATTAACAAGCAATAATTATGGTATCTCCTTGCATTACCTTGTCAATTTACGGGTGTGACTAAAAAACCCCCAGAAATAAAACCAACAAATTAAAAACCCCCAATTTTAAAAAACTCCCACTCAAAAAACCCCCACTTTCAAAAAACCCCCAATTTTAAAAAAACCCCACTTTCAAAAAACCCCCAATTTCAAAAAACCATTTACGTTCCAATAATTCACACTTTATATTAACTTAAATTATAATTACATTCATAATTTTATTTAAATTAACATTATCTTTTAATTGTTAAATTTTAAATCATATATTAAGTAAAGCTACATTTTATAAATTTTAAACAATATGTTAAATTGAAGGAATATGTTAAATTGTTTAAATAATATAATTTTTTTGAAACTGATCATTCTAAATTAGTAAATTATAACACTACTTTATTTGATTAAAATTTAATTTATTTAATAATCATATTTATTTTATTTTATTATAATATAAATTTTAATTGTAAATATTTACTAATATTAATACAAATTTATATTAACTTGCTTATTGGTCTATAAAATATTGTGGCATTTTTAAATAAGAATTAAATGTATTGGTTTTCGGTGTATTTTTAAAATGTTTTATTAAAGTGGGGGTTTATTGAAAGTGGGGGGTTTTAATTTGTTGGTTTTATTAATTGTTGGTTTTTAATTTGTTGGTTTTATTTCTGGGGGTTTTTTAATTTGGGGGTTTTTTAGTCACACCCATTTTAATATTTTTATATCACTTTAACATACCGTTCCCTTTATACCAATGTCTAGTGACCATTTATCGACAAATGACAACTTTTTCTCAACTTTCATAAAATGTTAGATTTTTTAAAATAATTGATTTGTATAATATTATTAGATATAGTTATTATGAATTGCAATTATATAAGATATTTAAAAACTAAAAATAAGTTTTGAGATGACTTTAACTTTAAAAATTATATATTTGCTGACATATCGGATGAGACCTAACACTTACCCTAAATTTTGCCAAACTTATCATTTTTGAGACTTTTTACGATTTTAATTGATTTATTGCTACCATTTTAGAGATGATATCAGTTATATTAACGGCGTCGGAGAGCTGTAAACAAGGTTATTTGGATAAAATAATTTTTGATGTATTTCATATTTTTTATGTTTTTTATGTGCATGATAGTTTTATTTAAACAATTATCCATATTTTACAAACCGGTGCTTATTTATCTGTGCTTACAGACCGGTGCTCAAATCAAGTTGTCTCTCAGAGTGAATATGTATAAAGTAAAACCATATTGTTGGTATAAATCATTTTCATTTAATTAATCTGGCTCAAATAAATCAAGTTTGAGTGATGTCATAGCACCTGGCATAATTTTTAAAAAGTCTAATATTTTGAATAAAAGAATTTTATTTAATTTTAACATTACGCTAACAATACCTTAATTGTATTTGCTTTACATTTAATAATTTATAAGATTTATATGAATTGTAATTAACATACGATGCTGTAAACAAGGTTATTTGGATAAAATAATTTTTGATGTATTTCATATTTTTTATGTTTTTTATGTGCATGATAGTTTTATTTAAACAATTATCCATATTTTATTAATATGGACGCGAGTATATATGCAAACACAACGCGTGTAATCACATTAAACTCAGCAAACAATACAATATATAACACAATAGTTATGCAAAATCCCATTAGAGTCCATACACTCAACAGATATTTTCCCCAAAAACTCGTATTATAGTCATTAATCTCATTATAAATATCAACGAATTTGTGAATTATTTGCATTATTTGCTGATAACTAGTATATTTCATGTCACGTAAACATCTATTCAGTGAACGTAGCTTTAAATTCAAATAATAACAGTTAATGTAAAAGTAATTGAACTGCCACAAACACACTCCAAATATATAGTAGCAAGCAAAACTGGCGAATATCCAATTGGGTATACCATAGATTAGGGCTTGACTAAGGGGTAGGTACAGTAAGTAAGGTATAATATGTACTAGAGTCATTATTGGCGATGTCTTCATTATAGTTTCCGAGATTTTAAATATAATCCTGGACCTATTTAATAATTTGGTTATAATGGTCGGATTTGTTACGCCGATACTCTGCGGGGTAACCAAACCGCACAACACATCAAACACTCGTAGAAATGTTGGTGTAATACCGCACCGGTAGTTATAGTAATAAATGTATTCAAGCGATAGGGTGTGGGTGATCCAGATTATAGCCAACACCTTGAATTGAGTGCCGATACCCACTAATGGACTCCAATCGCCAAACATTAGGTGTATTGTCGTGTATTTGTGGGGAATTATTACCAGCATTGAATGGATCAAGATAAATGCAATTGTGAAACTAAAATTCACGATCGGCTTTGACAATATTCTACGTTTACCTTGATAGAATCCCGTTCGTAATTCAATACACAATCCAATTTGATACAGGTAATTTTTATTTATTCTCAATTCTTTAGGCAATAATTGGTTGCATTTTATCATAGTCATTGTTTTCAATGTACAGTACTGTACAGTAATGTAGAGTACTGGGTCACATTAATTATCAAATTTAGGTTAATATATTATTAGACTTTATCATTGGTAATGAGAAATGTTATTATTGTATTTAATTTTAATTATTATACAAAAAACTCATTAAATGATAAGTAAATTATTTATTAAGTATTATTTAGGTAATTAGATTTCAATTAACAAAAATAGTATTCTCACATGTACCTTGATGCTATATTAGTGAAAACTACTTCAATGTTAAATATTTTTGTATATAAAACGTTTCTAGAAGTTAATTAAAACATAATTAAAGTTGTTTGTTTAGTTTGTTGAAATATAATTAAATAAAATACATATATTTAATTAAATAAAATACATATATTTAATTAAATATTTATATTGTATTAACACTAATATATAAAATTATATAAGCCTTATTTATATAGTAAATTGTATAATATATTATTGTATTAACTGATTTATATTATGATTACATCACAAACTCTCCCGGTTGATTTGTATATTATTATGATTATAATCGTGTTATAAGTGTTTAATATTTGTCTTGTTTTCTGTTTACCCATAAAATATTGTAATTAAATAAAATTAAATTAATTAGCATTGCATTGCATACCATTGTTGTAAATTCAAACATTTATATTTTGATTGATTTGTTATTCTAATTAATTTAAAACAATTTTTTAAATTTATAAATAGATTCAATAAACCTTAGCGTTTGTTTTATTATTTTTATATTAATTAACTAATACTGCACTAGGTCTGATTAATGTTTATTTTAATGTAAATTAATAGTGACATAATGAAATACCTCTCCCTGCTAATTTATTAAAGTAAATTTTAAATTTCAGAGAGTTTTGTGAATTAATAATATTTTTTGATGAAATATTAATTAATTTGTAATTTAATCGTTGGTTATTATGAAATGATTTGTTAACAACAACTGTAAAAATAATTTTTATATAGACTTTAACATGCCGTTCCCTTTATTACAATATTAATTGGTTCCTATTATTCGTAATATTCCTAATAATTATCCTAATATTGTTTCCATCCAGAACATATTTTATCTATTAATCCTATTTATTTAGTATGTCTAGCGACCACCAATCCCTCCCTTTCCCTCCCTTTCATCAAACGTTTAAATCCTTTTTAAAAATTGAATGGTATTTCAAGTTTGGTTATATTTTTACGAAAATATTAAGAATTATTGGAAAATTTTTAAAAAATGAAAAAATAATTTTTAGCATTCACTTTAACATATAAAACCCTTTATTACACTACCAATTGACCATGTGATTTATACTTTAAGTTTAAGTATCCAGTTATTTCGATACTATTAAGAATTGTTAAAATTCGTGAACTTTGACCCTTCATAACTTTTGTGTTTCTCAACCGATTGGACCGATTAAGGGCTCAAATGAAAGATCTATTGTTCCT